TTCTTTCAAAACTGCTCTACTCCTTCAAACCGAAAAATAATGTCTGTCACTCCTCTAATTCCCTTTCTGGATTTGGCTCAGAGCCTTCCAATTTCCCCCTTTTTTTCACTTCTAGTGGAAGGGGCTTGCTATTTAACAGGACTTACTGAAACCTAAGTTTAAAATAACAGAAATACTTTAATGCAGTGGGAAGACAATTGAGACAGGAGTGCAAACACCATGTACAACTAAATGGTACTTTTTAATTTTCTTCCCGTGAAGAAAATTGCCTACCAGTGAAGAAAGTCCAGAAGGGAATTTTGTAGACAGATAGGTGACATGGAAATGACCAGAAATTTCTGTGCAGGGACAATAGGATCAAAGTAAGGAAGTCAAGGGCTTGCGAGGTCAAGACTCTCAAGGTTTGAAACAAGCCTAACACACCGAACGGCTAACCGATATCAGACATCGGAATAGAGCCTGGGAATGGGAGAAGGGTCAATCAAGGTCAAGAATAGGATCCAGGATCAAGCACAAATGTGGAGAAGTTTGCATACCCTCCTTCAGGAGGATAGGCTCCTTAACAACACAATGCGACTGAATGTTATAAAATTGTTGTCTACAATGGGAGGAAGCTACCCAGTGTCTGCCGAAAAACAAAACCTGCCTGCTAGCTGGATTAATCCTGACTGGATAGAACAATACAGAAGGACCAGGGATAGGATAAAGACATGGTGCAGAGACACTCCATGGCGGGGCAGAGGCAGCATCTGAGAATATCGGGACCGTGTCATAACTACAATTAGGCTATGCCTGAGAGCGTTGAGACTGCATAGCTCCTGGCTATGCAGTCCTAGAGAGGACCCACCCTCTCTAGAGCTCTAAAAGGAATTCTTTGTTAGATCAGTGCGAAGCCTGCCAAATAGTGGATAAGAGAGTAGGGAAGTCCATCCTGAAGGCAAGGAGGGAGAGAGATGATGCAAAAAACCTTATATATCAGGTTGCAAAGGATGATTGTATTTACAGTGTGAGGGAACCCTTTCACAGTTTTGCAGTTCTGCTATGCCCCCGTTGCCGTTATCTGCTTTTGTTAGAATGAATTGAAAGTTATTGTACTGTCAAATTGAAATATTAAGGCTGTGTCCAGGGTTTGCATTTCCCACCTTGCAACACCTACACTTGCTGGGAAATTGAAGAACAGAAACTAAGTAGTCTGTAGCCTCCTATTAACATTGGCCAATGAAGCTTGCATCATGTGACAATGCTGAAGCGATACCATCCTCCTATTTAGATCATATCCTACCTGTGGCTCTATGGATTGAGAAGAAAAGTTTGTCTTCAGTTATTTCTCCTCCAAAGCCTGAATGGAACTTGAGTTCTACCTTCTTCTGAACAAATAGCTGTGAAACTCTGTCTGACAGAGAGTATCTTCCCTCCTGTGCAAATTAATATGAAGAATAAGGATCTGTTAAGGCTGTTACTGCACCACTCAAGTGGAATCAAGATTCCAGCCCTGCTGATGTACGTATCAAGCTGTGACAAATCATCTGAGTTTCAGGTCTTCTTTCACAAAAATATGGAAAGTTACATCCAAAAAACTATGATAGAAATATTAAGGAGAAGATGGGCTTCAAAATAAATTGTCACTATTTATTTTAATACCAAAATGTTGCCATTTACATTCAATTGTTAACTGAATGTAATAAATTGTTAATGGTAGTAAAATAATGAGGTTCCAGTGTGGAATTTGTTTAAGCTTTCTGAGCATTTATTTTTCTAATTACATCACCATGACCTGCTACTCTAGAAAAAAAAAAAAACCCATACTTTTATTCTAGTAATCTTTTCCCCCTACAAAATAGTTTTCATATACTTATTTAGGCTTTGTTATGCTGACACAGGTTACATGTTGTGTTGACAGAGTGACGGTCACCTACTATTTGTGTATTTCCATGTTGAGCATTCCTATGTATCCAAGCACTCTGGTATCTGGTTTTCCTCAGGTACACTTTGAATGAATTCTCATTTGAATCAGAAATAGAAGCAGGCAACTTGATCTGCTGTGCTGTCCTTATCTTTTCTTGTTAGGCACTCTTTAACCGCTATTACCTCACAAAGATGTTTTCCATTGATAAGGAACTTGTGTTGTTATTGAGATAACTAATTATCAATGCATTGATGAAAGAATGCATTAGAACAGTATCCATCAAAACTAATAGCATTCATGCAGGTAATCACCAAGAGCAAGATAATGCCAGGCTTGCTTTGGTTTCCTGCATAAATCTGTATCAACAAAAATCAAATCAAGTTATAATTATTTGACATATGTTTATTACACAGTAAGATGTTTCATGTTAAAAGAACTTATTTTCTGATATTTTGAAATGCTGCACTTAGGACAAGTTAGGTAAGATTTCATCTACCTGCATGTATCAACATGGTAGACTGAATTTGCTATCCCATGCTCCCTTTAATGACTATCGGAAGAATTAGGGAGCTTTTCATCTAACCTGTTTAGGTATCTACTTTAGCATAGGATGAATTGCATGACTGAAGTGCAAACTTCCTTCCACTGACTGTAAAGGAAGCCTTTACTGACTTGTGAAAGTCTGTATTTGTTTAGATGAGTCAGTCCCTCCCAATTACTCAAATAAAGATAATTTGTCTCGTTTTAAGATTTGCATTAAATTTGCAAATTATAATTACTATTTTTATTACGGTCATAATAACCTTAGTAGGAATTACACAAATACGTACGAAAAAATGATGTCGACCCAAATATTGCTGTAGGATTTCCTATGTAACCCCCTCCATAGTTACAGAAAATGCTTACTTCGTGATACAGCAAAATCCGCAACAACTCTAAAATAGTCTTGGATACTACCTCTCAGTAGCTATTTAAATTATGTGCATTAAAAAAAAGGGGGGGGGGGAAAAGCAGTACTAATGCTGCACAGACAAGCATTCAGAAGTTTAGAAATGACACAGAAAAGGCTGAAATCTTAGTCTGGCTCTGTCAAATATAAATACCTAATTATACTTTTTTTTTTCCTTCACATTTCACTTGCGAGGATAAACAATGCTTATATGCATGAACAGGTCCATAGCATTTTTATTTTGATCAAAGATGATCTAAATCTAAACTCTGACTTTGTACTTAATGCAGAATTACACATTTTCCTCCTGGTTCTTCTACAGTAAACACTATGGATCCAGCTACTTCAGAAGCACTACTTATCTCTACAAATACACTTGTTAGGTGAGGACTGCTATTAATGGAGCTTTATACACGGAGAATGGAGGATAAGGGAGGTTAACAATCAGAAGTATTAACTAATTTCAAATGCTCAGCTTGAAATGCTTTTGGACAATTGAGAAATATGTAACAGTACATAATGCCATATACATTTAAGCACAGTTTTTACGGACTTCAGCTGAAACAGATTACTCAGCACTTCTGAGAATCAGATTCAATAGATTCATATTTAACAATAACTGTATCCCTGATTTTGGATACAGACTTATGGAATGTCTGGTTTGACTATTTATCTTGAGCATCATTTAGGAAGTATGACAATAACATAAAGAACTCAACAATTTTCTGCTGCTGTAGCTGTAAGATCATTTTCTCCCTAAGTTTCCCATAAATATAGTTTAATTTCTGCTAAACACATGCTAAGGAATTCTGTAAACAATGGTATCATTTACAAACCATGCTTACCCAAGCCATTTAATCCACAGCAGGAAACAGGGTCTAGTAGAAACAGGGTCTATGAATGTGCTGTCATGTAATTAAAAACTGTAACAACATACATCCACATGAACAAAGAACAATGCAGTTATATAGGGATGCTAAGCATCTAAAATCAGACGCAATAGTAGCGAGCCTGTCGTCCATGTGGGGCTTTACCCTTAAGTTAGGATGCAATACTTCCATTTGAGCTTTTTTCACTTTTATTTGTAAATTCGTACAAGTTACATAGAACTTTACAACTCCTATTACATATTTTCATCTGCTGTCTTATCTTCACATTTTGAGTATGGTCAGCATTTCAGTCCCTAATAATCTGAGACTAATTAAACAAAAGGAGAAAAAATATGTTTCCATTCCCTAGGGATTCACGGTTAATTGTGGTAACAGTTGATAAGTTCATTCAATCTTTGCTTTAAACAGGCACACACTCATTACATAAATTTTTTCCTCTTGAGAAGTGTCTCAACTTATTAAATTTGACTAAAGTCAAGCCAAATCTTGTCTCTTTAGACGAGTTTCAAGGATCAAACCAGTATTACTTATGTATCACACCACTTAAACGCTTAAATGCAGCTCTCCCTACCTGTATAACTCTTGTTGAGACAAAGCAAAAATTGATATTTGTATGTATAGAAATTGCACAAAAGATTTCAAATAAGTAAAATCCTCACAGGCATTTCACTTTTTTTTTTTAACTGATTCTATCTAGTTCGATAAATGATCAAATTAGTTTTGTTAACTTGATTTGAAATCAAGTTTGAATCTTTTTACAAAATTTACATCAGCCTGGACTGCCGGGTTACAGAGCTTTTGTAGGGTTTGTCTTTGCAATTATTCCCAAAGTCTAGTCTGTCTTGACAATAGAAGCATGGATGACTCCAGTCTTTATTCCAAAATAAACTGGCCCCAGCCAAATAAACATACCATCATGTGTGTATATATATATATACACACACACATATGAGTCAAATGACCTAGTTGTTGGACATGACCTGGCAATTTTCACAAGTTGCTAGCCCCTACATAACCAGTTAGGTGAAAACTTTTTGAAGACCACTAAAGTAGTGTATTTATTTTACTTAAAGAAAGTATGATTTTAAAGAAAGAAGGCAAGGGTGTGTGCAAGTTTGTGTGTGTTATTTTTGCCCTAACGGATACTAGTCTACAAGGGACTGTCTAAGAAGGCACCTGAGAGGGCCGACGCTACTGTGAAGGCAAGACGCTAGAACAGATAAACAGCAATGAAATGACATCCAGAAAAAGTGAATATTCTTCTACTCATTGAACGCAAGTTTTAATGTTACCTTTTTCCAGGAAACATAATAAGAGCTCAGTTTTATTGCATAAGGTTTTCTTCAGCTAATTTTAACCAGGAAATTGAATCTGACAAAACACAACAGAAGGAAGAAAGAACAGATCAGCTTTTATATAAATCAGAAGATATGCTCTCATGTCTCATCTCCCTGTAAAAACTTGATCCCCGCAAGCATCTCAGCCCCAGTTTTGGAGCACCTATGTCCTGCCTAACCCTTTTTTTGTATTTGGCAATTTTACTTTCACGTTAAGGAGCTGAATCTTCAGTGCTCAATTCAGGCATCTTTATCAAAGTACACTTCAATCACTTTTTCAGCGTGAAAAAAAGCCCCCTAACAGGAGAGGCAAAAGTAGCAGACTTCAGGATTTTATCTCATCCTGCAACTCTGCCAAATTAAGTGACAGTCTGTAAGATACAATTAACATCAAAATAGTATTTCTCTAATCAAAATACCCTTACACTGAGTTTAACCTCTCTTTACCAGCTAAATAAGAACAGGTAAGTTCATTCATATGCCACTCCACAGAACTCATGACTAAGCTTAAAGACATTCAGTTTCAGAGCATTTTGAAATTGTGTGCGATAAAGATGCCTAATGAGACTAATACAAAAGAAGCTCCACTGAAGAGTCACTTTCAGAAAGGTATGTAGCATCCTAACTGGCCTTTTAAAAAGGCAAGATACGTTTAATCTGAACTTTTAATTTTAGGCAGACCTACGCCTAGGTAACGATCACCAATTAGAAGAGCAGTCCAGCCAGTTACTAAATAAAGTCTTTCAGTTCCCATCAAGAAGTTCTGTTACCACTCTTTGAAAAAACCTCAAGTTTGCACAGGTTTCAGGTCAAGTTATTTCTGGGATAGAATCTATTTGAGCATACCTTCAGTCCTGACAATAAAACATCGTGTCACACTATTCTTTAAGAAATTCTAATGCTAGTTATAAAACTTATTCTCCAGGTTTTATAGATGCGCATACTCTTCTGTAGTTGCCGCAAAGGCAGCTTCAAGAGCATGGACAAAGTTAGTAAGCTACTTTAGTACTGGAGAAGTCAGAAGTAAGCCTCATAAAGAAATGCCGTATTTTCTACCATTTATTTTTGTCTACATTTATTTACGAGTAAAACAAACAGCAAACGTTACAACAAGGGGGATGCTCAGGCCCAGATTAAAAGGGGGGTTGGGGGGGAAGGAGGGCGGCAAAGCCTGGATAGGTCCTGAATTTAGGCACGTTAAGATGGCTGTGAAAGCACACGAAAGAAGTGAAAGCCATGAAAAGTGTTTCAGCAAACTTCGTAAGTGCATTTCAGTATTTATTTAGATGTTTAAGCTCTCGCACTAGAGTTTACAAGCTGGTGAACACTGGCAAAATTATTTCTCCCACAGAACTATAACCACACATTCCCAAGACAGTATAAATATATGGTTGAACTAACATTAATACACATCACCATTTTACCAATTACATAATAAAACAAATTATCAAGTATTCAAATATTAAGTTACGCAGCTTGAAAGGCATACAAAATATTACAGAGGTCTGCCCAAGTCATAGCAGAAACTCAAGGAGGAAGAACAAAAGAAAAAAATAAAAATCACACTTTCAACAAAGCAATAGTTGGTAAACAACCTTCAATAGGTACAGTAAAAGAAACTACAAGATTTTTCAGAAATTTTCTGATTAAGAATTTTTAGCTACAATAACAAAGCATTTCTACATTTTAAAAAAATATTTACTAAAGTAAAGGGCATATTCTATACTTCCTGCACAAGACAAAGGCAACATTTTACTAGAAATATTAAATAGCCCCTCCCAACCTTTTCAGGCCCTCTGTTAAGTTGCACATGAAGTGCCAACATTACTTTTAATGTAAGGCTTTTTGTCTGGAGACATTAAAGACTTGTGTGCTTCTGTACAATGTAAAAAGATTTTTTACGTGAGTAACCAGAGAGTAATGATTTGTAAAATGGAGAGGTTCAGATAGCAGAAGAGTACAGACACTGGAAAAAAAGTTGCTGTAATTGATAGTATTTAAGAAAAAACAAAAACCAAAGACTGTGCAAATCCTGGTAATTCTAGTGCGATTGTGGGAGACAAAACATACAGTGAGCAGGCAAGACTGTCTTAGAGGCCATATTCTTCAATATTGAAATGACTGTAGAAAAAAATAGTAAGGGCCAGATAAACTGGTAGCTCTTACATCATCAGAACTATGCCTGTTTACAAGGAAAAAAATATGCAGATGATATGCTGGGTGTTTTGGCACCTAATCTCTATATAGATTGATGTATTTTAGTAGCCCAATTTTTAGTAGTTGAAACTAGATGAAAAGACTCAATGGCATGATTAAGGATATTTGAACTGGCAAGTTACAAACAAGGAGACAGTTCAGAAACGGGGTACAAGAAAAACATTTACTGGTTCTCCAAACAGATGGATATTTATCTTAACATACAAGTTGCATTTCTACCAAACTTTTGGCCTATTTAATACTCCTAAGGAAGCTTCCTTTACTACTTAGAAATCAGACCCATGTCCTTGGCATGCAGTCTGCTTAATTCTAATTTCCATCCTTTAATCCCAAAGAAGCAGTATAGGCTGTTGGGCTTTACTGAATGCAACAATTATTTCGGTGACCATTGGAGTCTTTAAAACGCAGACGCATCTTGGGGCGGTATTTCTCCAAGTATAGAAGTTGCTTGCTGTTAAAGGCTCCACGCCGCTTCCTGAATGAAGGAAAAATATTTTAAACTGAAAATTCATCTACTGCATAGTGAAATAATGAACACCTTATGGAGTTGTGCTTTAGGTTCTTTTGTTTTGTTTTCTAAATCAACACTGTAGCTAAAACAAGGATAATAAATTTAACATAGAATTTAAGCTACCACCTTCTTTGCTGGCATGTGACTTTCACAAAGACCTCATTGGACTACATGCTCAAAAGCATATATGACATTTTAGTTTTTTTATCCTGTCATATACACAAGCCAAGATCTTATATACGATAGATAGAAGGAATTTCAAAAGACAGATGTAGAGCAGACTTCTGAAAGTCTTTCCCTTACAATAGCTTGAGTTATTAAGTCTCTTAAAATAATCATGAAGAATAGTATAGTATTAAGCAAGTACATAAATACCACAACCCTCAAAAAAAATTTTAAAGAAATTGAGCTTTTTTGGTTTTGCTCAAACTACAAGCCTGTGAAAGACGGGTAAATTTTTGCTCAGTTTTTGGAGTAGGTCACAGGTTGGTGTATACATAGCAAGAAGTAGGAAGCCTGATACGTGCAAGCAGAGTTTAATATATTAAAGGCTTGACAACTATGCAAAAAAAAAAATTCCAGTATGCTTTGTGTGAACTGAAACCTCTTTAAAATACAGTTGAACCTAGAAATTTCAAGCAAGACGACTAAAATTTTTAATCTAATCCTACTTGTATACATTTACCAGAAAAATTCATGGAAAGATTTTCCAGGTAGGCTACCAGAAAAGGCCAGGAAAAACAGTCTAGCATAGTTTGATCTAATAAAGAGGAAAGGATTCACCAATCTGAGTAAGTGAATTAGTTTAGCTAGCTAGTAGACAGAATGCTTTAAAGGTGTTTGTCTCTCATATGGATATGCGATTACAAAAGACAACTGCAGATCTAACTGAAAGCTCAATTTTTAAAGAACTTGCTCAAATACAAGTTTTCCACAGAAACAGGAAGTACCTGTCCTAAAACATTGACTGTATGCACTATATATGCTAGAAGTTTAGTACATTTTATGTATCTAAATCTCTTATAAAAGGATAACAAAGAAGCACAGCATTAAGAACTCCCTGACAGTGGCCAAGTAGATGTCACCGTGTTTCATCTTGGGAATAACTTGATGTTAGCTTCATACTTACTGCCTTATGAACTGCACTGCATCTTCATACTTCATTCCACATTCTATCAGTGCAAGAGCAACTAGGACTGGAGCCCTGGTGAAAAAGAAAACACCTTCAGTTCCGCACTTGCCAGTGCATTCTTGCGGTGGGGGGGGGCACACCACCCCCTTTTCCCAGTTGTCTTTTCTGTCCTCTCTGTCTTGTCTTCTTCCCCAGGGGACAGACATCAGATAAAGAGATATAAGGCTTTTCTCCATGAATTGAGCCATTACGCTAGCGTTTTTATGGCTACTCCCCTCCCTTAAAAGGGGGTTTAAACAAAATTAAGGTTGGCCAGATCTAATGTTCACCTGACTTTAGGTATATGCAAGCACAACAGAGATAAAGTTTCCTCCCCTTCCTCCCAGAAGGACCTGGGTGGGAGTCCTGGCGGACAAGCTGACTACGAGCAACGTCCCCTTGTGGCAAAGGCGGCCAATGGTCTACTGCAACAGAAGGGCACCGCCAGCAGGTCAAGGGAGGTGATCCTCCCCCTCTTCTCCCTACCCTTAAGACCTGGATGAAGGCACACAGTGCACCCTCACTCAGCAAGTTTGCTGATGGTACTAAACCGGGAGGAGCGGCTGATACACCAGAGGGCTGCGCTGCCACTCCGAGGGACCTGCACGGGCTGGAGAGAGCACCGGTGGGGAATCACGTGAAGTTGAACAAACAGAAGCGGCAAGTCCTGCCCCTGGGGAGGAATAACTTCAGGCACCAGTACAGGCTGGGGGCTGGCCAGCTAGAGGTCAGCTTTACAGAGGGACCTGGGGATCCTGGCAGACAACGTTGGACGTGGGCCAGCAGCGTGCCCTTGTGGTCAAGAAGGCCAATGGTTTCCTGGGGTGCATTAGGAAGACTGCTGCCAGCAGGTCGAGGGAGGAGAACCTTCCCCTCTACTCAGCCCTCGTGAGGCTAAACCTGGAGTACTGGGCACAGTTCCAGGCTCCCCAGTATAAGGGAGTCATGGACCTACTGCAGCAAGTACAGCCAAGGGCTGCTAAGATAATGAAGGGACTGGAGCATCTTTCATATAAGGAAAGGCTGAGGGAGCTGGGCCTGTTCAGCCAGCCTGCAGAAGAGAAGACTGAGGCAGGATCTGATCAATACATATAATATATGAAGGGAGAACAGAAAGCGGATGGGGCCAGACTCTTCCCAGTGGTACCCAACAACAGGACAAGAGGCAACAGGCACAAGCTGGAGGAAGTTCCACCTGAAGATGAGGAAAATTTTACTGTGAGGGCGACTGAGCCCTAGAACAGTTGCCCAGAGAGGCTGTAGAGTCTCCATCCTTGGAAAAATTTGCATGTTGGTTTCTATTCCTACAAACAAGGCCCTCATTAGAAATAAAAAGACCAGAGAAATCAGAAGACAGGTTAGATCCAATAAAAACTAACACGTCCTCAAAACCACTGTCACAAGTCTTTAAAAACGCAGTTGCCTCTCCAAAGGAGATTAAGGTATATCCTTCCTTGTCATAGTATTCTTCAGCTGACAGAACTCTGATACTTAATGTCACACTGACCGAACTCGAAGAGGTTAATACGATTTATGACAAAATAAACAAACACACACACTACATTGCAGCAAAAAGCTTGCGTATCTACTAATGAGTTGAATAAATATTTTATGTTCAGGAATGAAGACAAGACTTGCATGAAAGAAGTGAAGTATTTTGTTCTTTTCAACTACTTCACTGCCAAGTTTTGAGGGAAACAGACAGATACCACAGCATTCTGCTGTTCATTCCTGTTCTAACAGCAGAAAAAAAGGACTTGTTTTGGTAGCATTCACCATTACAGTCAACTTTCTGTTATGTGTGAAGCTGTAATGCAAATGGTGACTAATTCAAGCTGACAGATGGCAGCAGACCAGACACTTCCATTATATTTTACGTTGGAAATGATGAAACCTATGGCTGAAACATGGCAACTACTCTTTGGACAGTTGTTTCCAGGTATTCTGGAACAGGAGCAGAAAAAGCACACTATGCACAAATTCTGGAATGGTATTCATGATAGCAGCAGACAACAGAAGCAGCAGTGTTAAAGGGATAACGTTGAGTTGTCCATATAAATTTCAAGCCGCAGTGCTAGAACTAAGGAGACAAAAACAGAGCTTTAGGACACTGGAGAATTTATTTTCATCCCTCAAATAGCTAATGGATGAAAGTTGCTCTTAATGTGCCAACACACCTCACTTGCTTCTGGATAATAGCAATAATCCCCTTGCTACAAAGGAGCTGGTAATACTGCTGAAATAGGGAGGGAAGAGGAAGAGTAAAGGTGAGAGTCAAAAAAAAAAAAAAAAGACTAACAAGACTAAAATCAATAGAACCGTCACCAATACGCTTGGTAAAGGAATATACTTGTATACTTCATTCAGTAGATTTCATTTGATAGCTGTGACAAATTCTATTTAGCAATGGATTCTGCTCTAACTGTAATACGTACATCTAACAGTTTCCTGTCAGCTGATCAACTAATAAGTGGGAGGTCATTTCAATACTAGACTTGTGACTTATACATTTGCCTCAAAGAGCCTTTCATACTAAATCTTAACAAGTCTGACCGGGATGGCAATTTGACAGCCCTTAAAACTCCACCCACCTTCCAAGACCAGCAACACAGTGTACCGCAATACAACAACCAGGCTCTTCACGAAATTTAACTTTAAGGAGATTTAGCCAATCATCAACAATCTGGTTGGATGGTGGAGCTCCATCATCAAAGGGCCAATCCTAGAATAAAAGATTTATGCCTGTAAATGTCGTAAGTTAAAAAAAGAGAGAACAAGAGCAAGCACTTGCTGTTGTGTGCATACCAAAAAAAAGTAGGAAGTACAGTGGAGAACACTCAAACTTAGGGTTTTCTAGAATTTTACATTTAGCAGTATTTGGAATATATTATTTGCAGCCACTTCTCCTTGAAGGAATGCTCTTGCTCAATTTCTGACAGAAAAAAGTAAGTCTGTACAGCTTTTGCTTTTATCAGCTGCTGGAATATACTTACAGAATTAAGAAAGTGAAATTCTTAAGGTGGTGTCTAAGGGAGTATTTTTCACTCTGCTTCTACACTGCTTACCAAAACCTGAATGCCTTCTTTTTCCACCGGAGCAGTGTCGTAAGTGGCTTCACACACTCTTACCACTGTGGTAACGCCATACTTCTTAAGTTCCTAAGAAATGAAAAGAACTGTTTTAGAGTAAACTGACTGAATGCACCATTCACTTTTCTCAACAGGTTAGTCTATTAACTGATTCCATAAGTTTCAGTAAAGATACTCACACACATCCTTTCCACCTTGTGGAGAACACAAAAGACGAAATACCTGTACATTACTATGTGTGCTAATACCAGATACCTTAAAGCTCTTCTGCAAATATAACTGATTTTTATTTTGGCAATATGAAGCCATCAAAGTCCCCAACTTGAGGGGAAACGTCCGTTTTGGACTAGACTAACAGACACATGTAAGTACTGATGAAATAAGTAGTCTACTTGAAATAGCTTCCTTTCGTTCTAAGGAACGGTCTGTGTCCTACATACTTCACTACACACATTCTGAGTATGGTTTAGGTTTCGCCCTTCTCTCACTCTCCTCACAACCACAGATTTGTTACTAACGCTTCTTACTGGTGAGAATTATGAGTATAGGACAATCGAGGATTCCAGTTCCCGGGTCTTCATAACCAGAGGGCAAGTTTGACTTTCCATTTTACTAATAAGCTTCACTTATGAAAAAGCAGGGCAATCACTCTTCAACCTCCCTAGAGCAGCCTATCATTCACACTTTAACTATTATGGTAATGACTGAAGTGTAACCTAAGCATACTTTATCCAGCTGTGAGTATCAATTCAAGTGATGGTTAACGCACCATGCTTCTTGTAAATTAGCCTACACTGAATGCACGTATAATATAGAGGTATAACAGTAATATCACCTAAAATCTAGCTAGTGAGGAACTGCACTGCAAACTCAAAACCTAGCAGATCCCAGTCTTTCACTGGAAAGTAGCATTGATGGGCATGCACACATCTTCAACCGTACTCGTTACCTCAAACATGCTAGATGCAAGCTTTAGATAGGAAATTCAAATACAGAAATACGTCAAGCAACGCGGCTACAGTTAGGAGATGCAATTTCAGCATATACTGAAATACTTGGAAGTAGCCTTGGCAAAGCTAGCTCTAGATGCAGTCATAGTCCTGTCCGACACTCGCCGGATTCTCTTAAGCTACACTCGAGCCGTGTTCTGCTAATATCGGAAGGATATAGACAGTGAAAGAAAGCTGCAATATTATTTTAATTGCTAAGGTTGTGATCTACAATACACACCGAATTATTCCTTCTCATCATTACTCCACTCGTGGCAAGCAAATGTTACGCTGCTTTAGATGAACCTTAACCTAAGTTCCTACCACTAACAGGTCTTGGTATTGTTCTACACTTTCCTATAGAACTTTGCCAGACTCTCCCTTCTTTCAGCCCTAAAATTGTTTGCTGGTGACAGTGTAATTATTTCTGTACTTCATTTTGAAAAGTATGTTTAGATAGGCTTTGGCCTTCATCAAAATAGATTTGTTTATAGCTCTGTAAAGCATGGCATGACTACTTGAAGAAAAAGTCAACATATAAGCAGAAGCACAGTAGCTCTTCATACAGGTTCCAGAGTTGCATCAACTACTAAAGAAGGAACTTGTTAATAAAATACACTGTTCAAGAACAGAGAGTACGTCAGTAAGAATTCTGTCCTGATCTTACCTCTATAAACTTGTTTAAGGTTGCATTGGTTGGATTGTGTGTGATTAGGAATCTCATGTTCTTGTAGGTGATTTCCACAGGAGCTGGGCGGTTCATTCGGGCCATATTAATTTAGTTAAACATGCAACAAGATTATGAAAGGATTCAAAACAAAATTTAATACAGAAGTGATGCAGAGAAACTGAAGTCTACTTCACTATACTCCACTTGAAATTCTCAGTGCTTGGAAATATGAAGTTGGGAGCGATGGGAAATGAAATGAACCTCCTAACAAGAAGCAGCAATTCTTCAATCCAGTAATACTGAGGCAAAAAAAAAAAGGCAGTGCACTGAGGTTTACCCCATCCAGGTCTGAATTCTTTTGTTAAATGCTCTGCCAATTTCAATTCAATACTTCTTATCCTGGTGAACCACTCTTAGGGGGGCTTCTTGGTGGAGTAGTAATGAATTTCTACAGTTCACTTGTCTGCATAGAGGTCGTGCTGTGCCTGGCAGTAGTCTCCACTGCCCTTCAGAAACTCCATAAATGTGTGACCAAGAACACCACAGAACTGCTGTAAAGAGAGAGGAAAAAAAACCTACAGTGAGCATAGGTAGAATAAGGTTATTGTGAAGACTGAGTGCTATAAAAAGAACAAATGAAAGCACAGAGACTAAACAGTATCATATGGTCTATTTTTTAATCTAATAATTAGTTTTGCATAAAAATCCTGCCCTCTTTCTTGGCAAGAATTACTTGCAAGTAAATGTTTACTTAATACAAAGTTTCCATATATGGCTAGTTTTAATACCAATAACTTAAATGTGTTAAAATACCAATTCCAACACATAGCAAAAAGGATCAAGTTTTTAGAACCAGTATTTACATAAAGCATAGCCTTTCTCGGATATCAACAAAAGCGTGTTTTCTATTCTGAATTGAAAGACACATCACAACAGCTACTAAAGCTACAATAACTTTAAGTAGTCGCAAACAATCAAGGATAAGATTCCAAGCATACTAAGGCTGAGCATTAGACAATTTCTGGTCTTTAAACAAAATTACCAGTCGCTGTAGCTGTTAAATCCACTGCTTTAGCCTTTAAGGTAAGCTACTTACTTTCCGTGATGAAAGCATCACTAATTCACATATAGAAGAGCCAGTAAAAAAAGCACCTAAAGCACCGGTTTCAAACAGGAAGTCTTGAAAGCAAGTATACAAGATGTTTCCAGGAACATCAGCTTGTGATAAGCTAATGCGCTGTAAGCAAATGCAAAAATCTTTAAGCGACCTAACAAAATAACGTGAGCTTTTTAATATGCTTAGAGACTTTCAAGGCACACGGGTTTCTAACAAACACAGATTTCACACACAAAAAGGTGAAGATACATATTCATTTGTCATTTTTTGCTCCCTCTACTTTTAGATGCCTTTCCCCATCATCACTTTTTAACTGGGCCGAAGTAGAGGTAACATTCTAGTTAAAGATATACAAACAAGTTTATTGCTACAATTAAGGTTCTACGTAAATAAGACATATAGCCAGGCAATAGACAGTTGATGAACTTCTTTGAATTGTTTATTCATTTACAGATGCTGCTAAGGGAGCAATCCAAAAATATATGCTTTTTTTAAAACCATTTTGTGGAGCCTCATGGCACAGAAGTTAATTTTGTGCCCAGCCACAGTATCAATGCTGTTGACAATACCAAAAAGGTCTTGTCTACCCAGGGAACAGAATGGGAGGAATAAGAAAAGAAAGAGAAGGTTGTTTCTGAAAAAGACAGACGCAAGTGGATACCTGGTTCAGCTTAGGTACTTGACAGTAACATCACTGACCCTACAACTTTTTGGCAGAAGAACGACTTATGTTGTCCAGTCACCTCTAAGCATAGGAAGAAATCCATCTATTTCCATGCCCAAAGAAGATATAGCCCAAGATACTCTGGGACCAGGTTATCTGAAGCACGCAGCGCTACAGAACTGCTATTACAAACTCACTCTTTTTAAATGTCTTTTTTTTTTCCTGTGAGCAGGGAGATAGTACCATTATTTGCTTAGCTTCATACATCCAGTTTCTAGCAAATAGAAGCTGAATCAACATTTAAGCCTCAATGTTCAGATTTTCTTTTTAAAACCATAAACCAACTCCATGTATGTAATCATGGCAAATGCGTGAGGAAAGAAAAAAAAAAAAAAAGAGACAACGTCTCAGCGCTCTGCACAAAATTTTTCTTTCAAAGAACCATGAAGGAATCAGCCTGTGCAGAACGGCTTCCCAACCACAAGAAAAGAAATTTAAAAGGTCAACTTCTAAAAAGTCCTGTACAATATCCCTGGTAGTAGCCAACATCTTTTCCAAAGGGCAGGAAGAACCACAGCTACATGCAAATCAGTCACGCCTGCTAATTTCTATCTGGGATTTGGAGTCAGACCAAGACCTCACCGCAGACACTAAACTGTATACAGGACTGCAGTGAATCTACCTAGTAACAATCAGTATTAAGTAGTCGTCACAACATACTAACAGCCTAATTGTTTAGTTCTCTAGGAGACCTCTTAGCAGATCAGATATCCTGGAAGTACTTTTGCAGATGTTTGCATGGGATTCCTTCCAGATATGCAAGGAAGCACAGTTTCAAAGTGAGAGATACAAACAAAGCGTAGCACGAAAGGTGCAATAACAACAAGAAGTTAGTGTCTTGAGGTGGAAGACTGACTAGAAGTCATCCATCTTTTTCACTTTCAAAGCTACAGAAGGGGAATAACAAATACAATACAGGAATTCTTACAGTGAACTGCATTTTAAAGAATTGCAGCAACAGTCTTGTTCCATTCATAAGGCCAGAGAAGACAAAGTTCTAGTAAGAGGGAAAAAACATTAAGAGTTTGCCCCGCTGAAGATGGACAGAACTGTATCACACAGTGTTACAAAGGACCTTTATAAGACGTAGCCCAAACACTTCCAGACATCATCGTTTTTATTCTGCTTCTTCGCACAAGTTTTAAGGATGCACCTGAATTATAAGCATGGATTACACCACCACCCACCACTAATTAGCACGAAAAATAAGTTAGCAGAAAGGTGGCAGGCAACATTATTAGGATAGCTTTACATGCCACTGTAATATCACCATTTTTGTCAGAAACGGAGGATTAAGTTTGTTTTTTGGCAAGTTACTGGCAACTTCAGTTTTTACTTGTTATTATCTGGAGATCTCACCGTCCCATATTAAATTGTAAGCATGGAAAAAAGGAAGAAGAACGATCCTCTGAAGAGTCAAAGGACAGCAAACTAACAGAAACCAAGAGATTCCAAGAATCATCATATGACATACCAAGCACACCACAGCAGAGAAGGGCTGAAATGAAAAAAAATGAAAAAAAAAAAAAAACCCATACACAACCACCTAGAATCAGACCTAAAGAGTCCGCCTAAAACAGCAAGTGAGGAAAAAAAACTGAACAGGGCTTACTGACAGTTACTTTCATTTTGATTAAGAAGCAGAATAGCAGAAAGGTACAGAACAGCTTTAAGCAGACCTTGTGCAGCTTTTCTCATGTACTGATAGACCTCATGTTCATCTCCCAAAACTCCAAGAGGAATCATAGCTGGCTTTTTTCCTCCACTAGAGGATGAAAAAGGGGAGGCTGTCAGGTATAGAAATTAAAAAAAAAAAGGATGAAACTGAGCTCAAGAAGATTGTGAGTTTGAACTGGGTCACTAGGGTACAGAAAAGACTTGCGCATGCAAGAGAGAGAACTTTAAGGGGAAATAAATGCAGAACGATTGGGAAGAGTTAACATGAACCCACAACTGGGTTAGACAGGAAATAAAAAGTCAAGTTTCATCCAGTCTTGTAAGTAGACTGCCATTTCTGCCCTTAGCATGCAACTAGGAGTACTCCACACAACACTAGATAAATGCATCATGGTGGTAAAGAGAGGGGTAGACAGAAGAGCATTAGTTAAGTACTTAACTCCTACTCCTTAAGAATGTTATTAATCGCATTTAGAAACTTGGTTCAATTTGAATAATTTGTATATTCAAATTATTATACAAAATTGATATAAGCACATTACATAATATCAGGTTTGAGTTCTATGTGCAATTAACCCCTATAAATGAATCCATTTCTTTAATACTGGCTTAGCAGTTAGCAATTAGACACATCAGCACCTTACTAATTCACACAACTAAAGACCTAACCAAGCATGCATTTCAGTCTCACTGTTTGCCTTGGCAACTGCTGCTGCCACATTATAAAGGAGCAAAGCTCACATTTTCCTTTGATGAGAATGCCTCTCTTCTCATCATTGTTAGCCAGAAAGAATATGTAAACCAATTCCTTAGCACAGCAACAACTTGTACTGTCCTAGGACTGCTTTGCCTATCTAGTTTAGTTCCGGAAAAGTTAAATTTGTACTAACTGTGATGCTTAAAGATTTGTGTTAGGTCTCCTGAAAGGAGACAATTATCTGAAAAGTTTATCCCCCACTAAAAAAGATAAAAAGACAATCCAGAGAGTTTTGCCTCAAGAGATGTTGCTTCAGGATTCTTTTTCCAGGAATCAAAAGGGAATTAAAGACAACAAGCTTATTAGGATGCTATTCAGGGTATATATGGTACAAGGTTTCATCAGTATCCAGCAGAAAGACCTGGAAGAGAAGACATCAACTACAGAAATACTGTTGTTGTAATCAAGACCAACTTGTGCTTAGGGAGAACTCAAATGACTTAAATAACTTTCAAGAGCCTTGAAAGTGCAATTTTGAAAGTACTGAATTGTTTCAGACACCAAATAGTTCACTAGGTGAGCTATCAAGAAAGCCAAGACTCAACAGTACAGGAAAGCTCAAGTCTGATTAAGTGGATTATTATATGCAACCCAAATGCATACTATTGCATGTAGAAGTTTCTTCAACAGAATATCACCAACTAATCGTTTGTACCATCAATTTGGGCAGTCCAAGAGATTTTTTTCCATTTCAAAGACAGTCTCCCTTGAAGAAAGCTAACACTGAAGGGTTTTGGAGAAACAAGCAGCAGCTTCTATTGGTAAAAGAAAGTCAACCAATATTTAAACTGTCAGACCCATCAAATTAAACTTGAAAAACAAAATTAAGGTTAATATGCCAAGAAAAAGCATGCTGTCCAATATGGGCCAAATTCATGTTAATTATGGTCGCTCCATTTACCATCATGTACGCTAGGAGAAGTTAGAGAATACTTCACTCGAGCAAGAGGAAGCCATCTTAAACTTTTTTTTTTTTTTGCTCTTTTTTCATTCATGCCATTCTCTCAGACAGGAATTTAAAGTATTTGTCCTCACTGACAAGTAGATTCAAACATGTTATTTCTGTGTTTGACACAGTCACTTGTATCTGGCAAAAGGCCACTTACAAAAAGAGATGTATTGCTGCCCAACATGCGGAAAGAAAAGAGGTGTAAGGTTATTACATGCTGTTGCTGTTTTGTTTCTAACGTCGTAGCATCTCAAAAAAGCATGAAAATGAAAGCGTTTGTTGACACAGTTACGTGACATTTCACTTCACCTTAGGAAGAAGGTCTGT